CAGAAGACTTCTCATATATATATATATTTTTTCTTAGATTTCCTTCAAGATCTTTGGCTTTTGGATGCAGTAGCGCCTTTACTTTATTGTACGAAAATCCATCAGTTACAGAATCTGAAAAATATCATGTCATTTTAATAAAGAAAAGTAATGCGTCTTGAAAACTATTGAAAAAGACAATTTTCATTGATTACCATTTATTTTAAGTGCTAAAGTTCATCGGCATAAGAATGGTAAATTGTTGTTTAGTTTGCTCTGTAGCAGCAACCGCAGTTTCTTCATTTACACAAGCGCTTATACTGTCGAGGAGCGATTGTATGGCATTTCTGTTGGTTGGATGCTTTCTTTTTAAGTGTTCCCTTCGGTGTTTGCTCTCTTTGAAAGTTTTACCTGCAAGAATGAAAAAAAAATCTTTTGAAAATGACTAACTCATTATTAATCATAGCAAACAAGTATAAATTATTACCGCAATGCTCGCAAACGAAAGGCCTGGCAGCATCATGCGACCTTACATGGCTTTCGTAGTGGCTTTTTCGTACGAATCGTTTGTTACAAATACAACACTGATATTGGAAGCGACCTTCGTGAGCCGCCACGTGAGAGCTTAACGTCCACTTGGTTTTAAAAGTTTTACTACAATACTCGCATCTAATTTTCGATGCCGCGGACGGCGACGTGGACGACGTAGATGCACTGTTTAGGGGTTTCTGATGGCTAGACTTGCGGAGAAGCAACATGTCCTCGAGCCGGTAGTCATCGTCAGAAGCTATGGACGAAGCCGATGTGGTTGCTAATACTGGCACAGTCGTTGTTGTCAGGAGTTCCGTGGGACTGTTTAATGTTTGATAATGTATTTCCGCAGTAGCCGTTGGTGTCGTTGTGTTTTCAAACGTTATAATAGGCTCACTCTGTAGAAAAAGTTTTAAGAAAAAGTTGCTTCCTTGAATTTTTATTAGGTGTATGTATTCATGAAACAAAAATCAAACAAACCTTTATATGAGTTGGCAAGTGAGCATGAAGTAGGCTTTCGTCTTCAAACGTCTTTTTGCAAAAATTACATGTGTATGGTGGTCCGCTTGTCGAAGTAATAATGGAATTAGTCCCGTTTTCGTGAATTTGTTTGTGTCTTTGTAAAATCGTTTCATTGTAAAATTGAGCTCCACATACAAGACACGGGTAAACTTGCTGATCTTGCATCTCAGTCTCCTTGTTTTCCCTTGTTTCGTGCCGCGCTATGTGTCGCTTAAGGTCATGCGCTCGCGAAAATGCTTTGCCATATCTACTACAGTTTGGATAAGGACAACCTGACGAATAAAAGTAATTGTATGTATAAGTTTTGATTACTATGACAATTGATTTTTTTTGTTCAATCAACTTACCTTTTGTCTTGTCCTCTTTTATCCTAGGTGGATTGGTCTTGGGCTTAGAAATAGTTATTACCTTTTTCTCTGTGTTCTCAATGGGCTCTGGTTTGCAAATTACTTGCTGTTGAATATTCCTTGAAAGAGCCAACTGAGCTGAGAGAGGAATTACGATAGATATCGTGTCAGTACTTCCTGGAGCTAATATAGGCCCTAAGTGTATAGTTTGTGAATCAGCCAAAGTCATAGTACCAGCTTGATCTGTACTTATAATATCGTATTCAACTGAAAAAAAAAAAATCATTTTCTTATGAGACATGTAGTTTTTATGATTAAAATATAATAATTGATAACAAAATAAATGATCCCATTTATGTATCATTCATATTGTACACTTTTGCGTACTTGAACAAGAAAAAGGAAATAAAAGCTAGGATTGTTCATAAACGGTGAATAGAACGCTTAGCTGTAATAATGCAATTAATAAACAGATTAGTGCTGCTACAAAGTTCAAGAAACTTAACCTTTTTCCTCCTTCATTGTTGAAGCCAGAACTACGACGACAGTCTACCAGCAGACAATTAAAAAAAAATTGTAGTCTCAAAAAACGCACTCCTCCAATTCCAACAATCCCGAAACAATTGGATCTGTCTGGGCTCTCTCTCACTCTGCAAAACCAAAAACAAAGACGTCGTCCGTTAGAAAAGGAGAAGATTAAGAAATAAAATATGCCGCAGAGAGCCAGAGACTCTACTCTCTCTCTCTTTCTCTTCCGACATACGTATAGTTATACTTTTAACACAATATGCTACAGTAGACAGCATACAGTGGGTTGTTGCATATATACCTATATACATAGATCCAGTGTACTTGTACCCATACCCACCCATCATAAGTGCGGCAAAGAGAAGGAGCAACTCTAAAAGAGCATCAAGAAGAACGCGATCGGTCACTTTCAAGTTACGTCTTTCCTCTCTCTTTTTTAGCTTTAGCCCATTTCGTTTATTAATACTTATAGGGTCCATACTAATCTCTTTTTTTATATAAGTTGTAATATATTGCAGCAATATCTAATGTACATACATACGACTCCATTTATCGGCCTTGTCCGGGAATGTGTTACACTTTTACGGGTGGGTAAACACGCGGGTACAACATCCTGCCTTATCTTTTGTTTTCGTCTCATCATTTACATTTCAACTGACGCGACAAGAATGCCTAATCGGTTTACTTGTGTTAGTTTCATAATGTTATCAGGTTTTTTAGAATCGATTTCATACTTTTCTTACACCTGTTATATCAGGTTTTTTTTTTTTTTTTTTTTTAACAGCCACAACAGGTTTTAGGTCAGCGGTCTACGTATCAGCGTTCTACGTGGGATCACTGGAGTTCGATCCCAACCAACTGCAATGTTTTCAGTATTCTTTCAGCTCTTACTTAATTTAATGGACTTGATGAACCTTGCATTTCAATAGTTTGGAATAATAACCTATATCGATAAATAACTATTAATTATTAATAATTATAATATACCTGTAATATACTAATATTAATTTAAATTATCTATCATCATCAATCTCAAGTAATGATATATTATCTATAAGTATAATATAGGAATAATACTAATCAATTTTCATGTATATAATTCACTTTTATGAATTTTTTTGAGGATCAGATTGAATACAGATTTTTTCAGCTGTACAAAACATTGGATAATGAGAAATAAATAATTTGTAGTTTTCAAATACAGTGTTTCATATTCAAATAAATATTTATTTGTCACAATAATATTTTATTTAGTCGACAAAAATACTTCTACTACTTCAACAAATAATTATTTGAAATTAATAAATATTCATGGAAAATTAATAAACATTGATTTTTATTTAATAA